GATACGATAAACAGTTAGGACGAGCCGAGGGGGAGACGAACTCAGTGAGCTACAATGGATGCGTTCCTCGTAACCTGGCAGTCCATGCTTTATATTCTCGCAAGCCACCGCAGGTAAAATTTTGCAATCTAAACATCTTTCCAGCTCCATTCGATGAGTTTGTAAGTATTCTTTAAGAGAATTGATCGGTCCTAACACTTTCCGGCTCCATTCGATGCTGTTACGCATTTCGAGGCACTTGTCAAGGAGCATTTTAGTAAACACGCCGAAGCTATCATCTGGGCCTGCAACATGTACATGGAAGGTGCACGAGTAGGATATGCTCTCGAATGCCGTGCAAACAGTCGTGATGAACACATCGAAGGAAGTTCGACCGGGTTCAAAATCATGCTGCAAAGCTCCTTCCGAAGCTTGTGGAGGCATTTTCAGATCAGGGTATTGATTGCAGCCGATTCAAGGGCTGAAGTGAATCTGCTATCATATGATACCATTGTAATAATTCCTCACCGGAATTCAAACTCGAAAAACGAATCGAATAATGATCCTTTAAGGAATCCTCTGTTTCATCCAGGTGTGATTTGGTTAAAGATTGCTATGTTTTCCTTAATCTATTACAGTCGAAACTGTAAAGAAAAAATTGTTTGCAGACAATAAGAATATGAAATAATAAATTGATTGGATTGGTGTGCTTGATAATTCTGGGGGTGTTAAAAGTAATCGTAATTGTTAACGGTAATCATTAATCGATATCGTTATATTTAATATGTTAATTAATCAAACTGTTAACGTTAACACAATTTCGGTTAACTAAACAATAAAAAATGATGATTAACGATTAAGGTTGCGGTTATGAATAATCAAACTGAGAGATGTGTATACTTATACTAGGTATATATGTTGAATGTTACATTTTTTAAGAGATGTACATACCTACATCAAGTAAGTATGTGTTAAACGTTATATTTTTTATTTTCTTTACTTACACTAGTAAAAATATGTGTTAAGTGATACATTTTAGTATGAATTATGAAATTTTAAAACGTTTATGTTCAGTTATTTTTGAAAAAAATTGTAATATGTTAATGGTAGTTTATTTATAAACGAACCACTATAATAGTTAACCGTTTTTAAACAATTATGTTATAGTTAAAATGTTTTGAATCAATGATGGGAATCCGAGATAAACAAGATCATTTGAAATGTACGGAATGAACAAGCCGAAAAAATGATTAATTTAAAAAAATTCACTCGATAAATTCAATAAATCAATTAGAAAACTCGGCTGAAATATATTAACATTAAGAAATGAATATCGATATAATCAATCAAATATAATTAAAACGATCATTTAAGCGTAATTCAACCGCTTCGGATAACTTTATCCTTCGAATTGAACACAAAGTGTCAAGAATTTTGCCGTTAAATCCTTTATGCTTATGGTCATAATCAAATTAAAACTCCTATATTTGTCCCGAACATGGCCTTAAATGGAGGTAGCTATAAAATACCCCCATTGATTTTAACACTGTTTCTTCACCGCTCCGAGTCTAAAGCTTCGCCAATTTCAAAACCGGTTAACGATGAAGCCGCCGGAACTTATTTTTACCCAAAAGTCACTCAAAAACCCATAATTTCCATCCAACTCCCTTCCTCTTCGTCGCCATCGTTTTTCTTCTTCAAATCCCAAGGCAATCTCCTCAATCGCCGCTCAATACCATTAGAGTACGTCAAACGCTGCAACGACGTCGTGCCGGCATCAACAGCGGAGCCTAGCGCTCTCTTCCAGTTCCTCTATCTCTCACGACCCTCGACTTCAAATTGGTATTACACCGGCGGAGACTCCATTTTCTCCCAACTGAATCCCGCCACCGATGTGCTGAAATCCGCAACGTTTCATGCTCGTTTCTCGCAAGACTACCTCGATAGTAATAAGAACCGAATCCATAAGTGAATGGAAAGCTCGTTTTACAAACTCCCAAATCGTTTGCCATTTCTTCTCCCGTGGCGGTGTATTAAATCCCGCCGTGGATTGGCGGGGACGTTCCGGGATGGGACCAAAATTCCTTCGGTGGTCGATAGAGAAATGCAGAGGTTTTCACTTGGTGGGTTTTGTCGGAATCGACTGGGAGGCTTTGTATGATTGGGTCAGGGATGAGTAAACGGAAATGCAGGTAAATTTCGGACCTTTAATGTTGTTCTTAAGCTCAATTATTCAACCACTTTAATGTTTCCGGTAGTTTGATCTCTGGGGTTCTTCAAAGTTTGGATTCTGAACATAGTTCGAGTTATTTTGAGCCTGTTTCCGTATTGGGTGTGAGGAGCTTTGGGAATTATGAGTTTGTTTGGTTGATAATGGACAGGAAAGTTCATGTTTAAGTGAAGGAGAATTTGGATGTTAGCAAAGCAAATGGAGGACTTTGTTCAGTGAATGTTCACCGTAGGATTAGGTTTGGATTGGATTATGAGAAGGATTGTGATCAAGATAATTGTAGTTCCATTATTAGAGATGTTAAGGATGCTCCGAGTATCATGTTTTTTCGACAGACGAAATGTGTGGATGAAGGGAAAATGGTTGTTGGTTTCGAAACTCGAGTTCTATCAGTGCTTTTTCCCTTTTGATACGCCTTGATGGGGGAGCTGGGACGAGAAGAATGTTGTGCGGTGTTGTTGCGGTTTTGAATTTCGGGATTTTTTGAATGGAGCATCTGTGGGCGAGTGCTCCATTAAGTTTAGCTTGAGATACCCCAGGTGTTTTCACTGAGGATAGGGATTCGATTGGGGAAAATTTTGGAGTGATAAAAGCAAGGATGATCCAAGTTACTTTGATATGATTGGCTCAGGAGTGTTTGGGAAGTATCACCTGGGTTAAAGAATGTCCGGTTTAAGATACGAGTATACAGAGGTTGCTAGTGCTCGAAAATTTATGTGAGTAAGAACGTTGCTGAACACAGGGAAAGACATACCCTAATGGCGATTCAATAGACATGAGATTTGAAAGTTGTTGATAGATAGTGAAGGAGAAGCAGCATGGGGTGTTGCAAACCCCTGTTTGTGGGTGACCAGCCTACAAGTATCAGCCTTACGGTCTTTTATCAATGTCGAATGTGTCAGCAGATCATTTGAGCAATAATGACGGCAGGCTAAATATCAGCTACGAGATTAGCTACTCGTATCGTTCGAGTGATGGTCGTATTTTGGACAGAGGATTTGTAATTTCTTCTGAGGGAATATATGATAGGCATTCCGGTGTTCTATGCATGGTTGGATGTAGTCAATTACAAGTAAGATACAAGAATCATAGTTCGATAAAAATGATTCACTGGATTGTGACATTTGGTTACTGCTCAATTTTCTCCGTTAAATTCTGCAGAAAAGTATCGTGTTAAGGGGACAATTAAAAGCACACGGATCAAGTCAGACCCTCGTTATTTTGGGCCCATTAGTTTGTCTTCAAAATCATTCTACGCTGGACAGGCGAAAGAATCCATTTGGAGAATGGATTTGGAGATTACCATGGTTCTGGTTTCCAATACACTCGCATGTCTTTTTGTTGGATTGCAGCTGTTTCATGTTAAGAAACATTCCGAAGTGCTTCCCTTTATCTCTGTCTTGATGCTCATTGTTCTTACTCTGGGGCATATGCTCTATTGTTGAACTTTGAGGCCTTGTTCGTACCAAATCATAATCAACAACAAAATGCTTTTCTTCAAAGTGGTGGATGCTTGAAGTAAACGAAATAATAGTAAGGGCGGTAACAATGGTAGCTTTCCTTTTGCAGTTTCGCCTTCTCCAACTCACGTGGTCTGAACGGCAAAGTTATGAAAGCCTAAAGGGCTTATGGGAGGCTGAGAGAAAGGTTTTATACATATCCCTACCTTTATATCTAACCGGTGTGTTGATTGCTGGTTTGTGCACCTTTGGAAAAACACTCACCAGACACCATTTCTACAACCCCGTCAGAGACGTCTTCCGTTCAAGAATAATTTCTACCAGCAAAGTTCTTTCTGGAGTGACCTTAAATCTTATGGCGGTTCGGTCGTCGATGGGTTTTTGCTTCCACAGATTGTGTTCAACATGTTCTCCAATTCCAACAAAAACGCTCTTGCTGCTTCGTTTTACTTGGGAACCACCCTGGTCCGGTTGTTGCCTCATGCATACGATCTTTACAGAGCTCACAGTTTTTCAGGATATCTCGATTTATCATATATATATGCTAATCATAAGATGGATCTCTATTCCACAGCCTGGGATATCATCATACCTTCTGGTGGTCTGCTCTTTTCCATCTTCATTTCCTTGCAGCAGCGATTTGGGGGTCAGTGTTTACTACCTAAACGGTTTCGAACGGATGCGGTATATGAAAGAGTGTCTGTAGATAACAGTGAGGAATTGCAAGGGGAATCAGTTCAGAAGAACTTTTATAGCTTGTGATGCAGTAATGGCGGAAACAGTATTTTCTTTTTTCCAGAATTCGAATATATAGTAAACTCGTTACAGTCACCGTGTTCGATAGCTATGGGCTCTATATTCTTTTGCTTCCCAGTTCTGGTATGCTAACCTCCAATCTTGTTGAATTCCATGTTCTGAAATCAAAGAGTGATATACTGAAATAAATGTTGAAAGTAGTATGTTTTGCATTTAAGCCAGTTTATTTATACCCTGAAGCTTTCTATTCATGAATGCACATTTTATACGATCCATATGATCTCTGCGGGTCTATCTTTGATTTTTCTACTTCTTTAGCTTCCATGGAAGCCATAAAACAAGAGAAAGGGAAGGGAATTTTCTTGCTTTCAGCAAAGCAAAGCTACTGTTGAAGACTTTTGATGAAAGCAAACTCAGTTTAATCGAATTTTGTTCACCCTAATCTAAAAAAAAAAAAAACTTCGATTTGGAAAAATAAGTACAACCCTCCTACCAGCTCACTTGGGCCTTTGTTCTGCTGGTTAAGAATGTGTAGATCTATATTATGTATCACTATGTTCATATGAACTAAACAATGGTTTCTCAGTCTTAACAGCTATTGATTCAAACAGATTCAAGAAAGATACACGTGATCGCTATACATATGAGCAGTCATGTTCAAAGACTGGAGCATTGCTTCCCCTCTTTTGTTGAAAACAAACGTGGATATACCACCATTGTTCACATCAATCGACCGAAACCTGAAGCATGAAAAAGAAACCATTAAGAACCGCCGAAAGCCAAGCACAGACCATTTACGAACAACGGGTGATACGCAGATCGCGGTTGGTTTTTGAGTTCAACAAGATGCCTAGAAACACATTGAGAAGAAAATGGCATACCTCTCGGGGGGAAGCCCTAAAGCTGAGCAGATCAGTGCCCTTAACATTGATTTGTGCGTGACAACCAAAAAGTTTTCTCCCTGATCAATGATGGACTATTCTTACTCATCAATCAGATCAATTGGGCAATGCAGAAATGGTAAAAGTTACAGAAAAAATGAAAACAAAAGATGGCATACGGGTGACAACAAGATTTCCCTCCAAGATTCTCTTGCTGTTGCCCACAGTTTCCGAAGAGGGTAGACGCCGTTTACGTAGAAATTTGCCGGATCCTCTCTCCATGTTGTGTACTCCTTTGGATATATCACCTTAGCATCCACTGCCTCCAAATTCTGAATATCATTTAGTCTAGTACTAGTAGTTTTTGCATTATTCCAAACCAGAATGAGCTAATCAAGTTAACCGATGTTCAAAACCAACTAGACGATGACTTCTACGTAGACCAAGTTAGTAATGTACTTAGACAAGTTGTGAACAAGTAACCAATTGTTAGAAACAGACCATTTTTCATGCCTTCAAGGAAAAAGAGATGGCACTCCTTCAGTGAATCAAGGAAAACCAGTGGCTCTTCCCTCCCTTGCCATAACACTTCGGCAGTGGTCTGCATTGAAGAAAGATAGTCCGATATAAAAAAGAATCGTGTACGGCTAACCTTAAACGTCAGTAGTCATACCTTAGCACGGGATATCGGACTTGAAAAGCATTGATCAAAGTGCATATTCGAAAGGGCCTGCCTACACCTCTCAGCTTGCTTTATCCCAGCTTCTGTTAGAACAGATAAGTTTGAGCTTCCCTGTAACACAAAAGATAACAAAGTCAGCAGTTCAGGAATCCATGGGATTCCGATACAAATGGAACTAACTTATATTTTGCCCCGACTCTTCGTTAAGCTAAAAATACTCATACCGAACACCTGTATCTGATATATCCGTGTTTGAGACACATCCGAATCCAAGTAACATAATATAACTTCATTTATGTTCAGTTGTTGACAATGAATCAGGCACTTGTATCGGACACACCAGTTTTAACTTTCTTAAATTTCAATGTTCATCCATCACATTCAAATAGCTTCATTTCTCTCATTCATGGACCGAGGCACGTTGTAGGTGGGAGGGGTAATGTCCTTCCAACTTTCCGCTGATAATTTTGAAATTATTGAAATTATATCCTTGTCTCTCCCACGTATTTCTGATTTAATTATATTTTAGGATTTGTTAATTTTAAAATTAATAAAATTACACTTTAACTCCAATTTTTTCTAGTTTAACTATTTGTTTAAGATCTTTTAATTTTAAAATTATTAAAATTAAGCCTTTAACTCCTTTAATTTTTAGGGTAAACTACACCCAGGATCATTTAATTATGAGAATTCTAATTTAACTATCAATTCTTTTAATTTTATCAATTAGACCACTATTTAAATGATGTCAATCAAACCATCAATCGTTAAATGTTAATGAAGAGAGTGATGTGTCAATTAAAAAAATTAACATAATTTAACATTTATTTTTCGTTAGTTACATATATTATCAATTTGGTCATAATTTTAATTTAATTAAATAAATCTAATTCTCTAATCAAATCATGGTGAGATTAAAATCTTCATTTTCAAATTTCCATTTTTAAGTGGTAATAGAGGCAGTTTATCCTAATTCTTATAGTTTAATTACTTTTTAAACCTTATTTAGTTCAAAATTAAATAACTTAACCCGACTCCTACGCTCTCATTCATATTTCATACCATATCATTCCAACTATACCCACCAGCCAACAGCCACAACACAAGCAATAACTTGCAATCGAAACTAAATTACAAGAGAGCTAGTGGCAACAAACCTGAACTTTACCCTCTTTATTCCAAGAGCTGAGGCCATGCCTTACAAGAGTTACCTTCTTTGGGGACGATAAAGACTCACGAGTAAGTGATATGGTAGCTCTTTCAAAATCATAAGCAGTACCAGTCAAGGAATAATCATTTTCAAGCTTATCTGCGAGATACACCATAACAATCACCTTCAAATTACAAAGAAAAAAAGGGAAATGGAAATGGAAAAAGCAGTGAACTTACCAGCAGTTACAGGGCCCTGATCTGCACCAGAACTCGAGCACTGAATCCTAGGACTGGAACGACAAAGATTATAGGTTTTAGCTAATCTAAGATCTTTTTTGGAGGCTATTATTGAGAAGAAAGGGATGGTTAAGGACAGAGCTTCACAAACCATCTTGTTGAAAGATAAGGGCGAAAGAAATTGGTTATGGATCCATGATTCGTTGCTATATATGTATTTGGCCCTTATGGGCAGTTGCTTGTGGGTTTCAGAGGTAGTTAGTAGCTTGGTGAAGATGCAGAAAAGGGTTTCAATGATCAAATCTTTGATTATTAGGAGCTTGGGTACTGTAATCTAACTTTGAGTGGTAGGGGTTTGTTTTGCCTGTGATACGCTGAGGTTTTGGGTCAGCGATTATTATCCTTACGTTGATCCGATATCTCATACTTTTAATATTTTTTCTAGAAAATATCGGTATTTATTCGAAAACGGAACGGAAGATTCCATTTATATAATTATATACCGTGAGATTCGGTTTCTATTCCATATCATCATTTTTTTTATTTTGAATTTTGAGTTAATTTTATAGAATTCAGGATAATTTATGTAGATGTATTTCTTATACATTTATATTTTGATAAATATATATATATTAGTATATAAAATGTTAGATTAAAGTATTAAATTAAAATTTATTTTAACTTAATATTATTAATAATTTAGTATTTTATTTATTTATTTAATTTTAACAATATATATATATATATATATTGAAAATATATTAAATTAGGTTTGATTGAATTAGTTTAGAGTCAAATTTCTAATTAAATTTTTAATCAAATTTGAGGTAAATAAAAATATGTTTAAATATAAATTAAATCGAGAAAAAATATTATTATTATTATAATATTTGATCAAGTTCAAAATAATAAAAAATAATATAATCAACAATTTAAATTTACATATAATCTGATTTTATCATATAATCAACAATTTAAATTGACGTAATTAAAATTCAAGCTAGTCTGATTTCATCATATCATCAACAATTTAAATTTACATTCACTTGAATCTAAAATAATTAGATAAAAATAACCCAATCAAATACCTAAAATAACCCATAGTACAAAATGCTTGAAACTCCTAAATCACCAGAGAAAAAACCTATTAAATCTCAACCTCACTTTTTAAAAGTATTTTATTACATTATTTTTTTACCACATTTTTCAAATACAAATGATTCGATCTAAAACAATTTAAATTTGAGTAATTTGATTCAAAACTATCCCAAACCGAAATGATCCCATATCAATTGGCCCCAACAATTCTATTTGGACAATGGGTTTTTGAAGTGGGCTTTCCAATGACATAAAACATTCGTTTTACAAAACAGTGCATTAAGAAACGATTCCTCCCGTGCTTTGATTAAAATCTACCGATACCTGTCTAACCTATCGATTCTTTGACTACATTTATTTATGTATATGTTTACTTGAATTATCAACGTACAGAAATTAATGCTGATACTATATTGCAGATAATAGTAAGACCGTCTGTCATCAACTCTAGCAGTTCCACTAGCAAAATGATAAAAATGGAAAATAATTTTTCCTACAACTGGCATTTGCAACTATAATTGCTATACTGAAGTAGAAAACGCATGCAAGTTTTGGTTTCTGTAAAGCATAAACGAGACATTACCAAAGGATAATCTCAGCGAGAAGATGTAGCCGTGTTTGTCTTTTGAAAACAATTCTTCAATCTTCAGGTGTGACGTCTTCATCCGAGCCATTGTCCAGGAAAGAACCAAGAGTTTTCCTCAAAATGCTGAAAGTTCTGTCATCCTGCATTTGCATCAAGTTAAATGGATATTACAGCTTTTCGAGGGGCACTCAGAACCATATCCCAAACTGGATTCGTGTATGTATAATATGGTAGCTTTGACATTATAATTATTTAATAGAGCTAGCATAAGTAATCTAATTTATTAATAAAAAAAAGCTTGATGATAATTATTTTACGAAATTAAAAGATTGTGACTGATAAAAGTACTGGATTTTCATTAGTTAATAACCTGTTTCTTTTTCTTCAGTGACTGTTCCAACTGAGCAATTTTATCAGCACAGAATGTCTCTTGCTCAGATATCAAGCTCTTCTCTTTCTTCCCTAATATACCAACCAATGCTAAATTAATATAAATCAGATTCCATTAAAACCAAAGGAACGGTATTTTTGGATTTGTAGCTCACTCAGTTGTTCATATCGCACAAACAGCCTTTCTTTATCTTCTTTAAATCTGGAAATTGTATCTGTGAAACAACATTGATATTTAGAATACAATCAAAACTATGAATAGGCATAGGTAGCTTTGATTTTTCAGAAAATTATGACAAATTTGCATCTATTACTACAAAAGACTCATAATTCATCAGGAGCTACCATTCAGTGCCTGCAGATGGATAGTTTTTTCTTTGCAGAATTTCTCATAAACCTCTTGGAACTTTGCAGTTTCATTCTTCAAGCAATTTTCACACTGAAAAACAAAGCAATCGTATTAGCATCTCAAGCTTTTAAACCATATATTAAATCCCATTGACAAATTCACTTTCATCACTCGGTTTAAATGAATGAGCCCTGAGATCCTTATAAATTTATACCTCTTTTGAGCTCTTTGTAAGTGCCTTAGCAAAAGTTTGTCTAGAGTAAACAGAAACAAAAAACAACAAATTACTATATTTGGATTACCAAAAATTTGCTTAAATTTTGGTTTAAAGTTGGATAATAAGTAGGCTATTGTTTACCTTTCCTTCTCCAATTTTGACTTCAGATCGTCAAGCTTAGACCTAATCTCAGCAGCCACACTGCCAACGAAATTTAAGAGACAAAATAAATTGGCAGGGTTTGGCAAGAGTTTCGGTGGAGAAAAGGAAAAGAAAAGGGAACCTAAAAGAAATACAACAGTTTTGCTATTTCATTTTGCTCAAATTAAAGTTAGTCATGTGAAGAATGCATCAGTTCGTGAAACCATTTGCATAAACATAATGATATTCATCAATCGGCGAATTATAATAATTAAAAGGAATACATAGCAAACAGCAACGCAATGCATCAACGATTCAAATCTGAAAACAGCAGAAATTCAGTGTCGGAGATCAAATTCCTTGCAATTATCAAAGCTAACAAACCAAAACCATACATCAAATCAAATCGAAAAATAAAATGTAAAAGAATACTTAAAATCCAGATGAAATTGGGGGGGGGGGGGGCTTCATCGTTGACATTGTGGAGGAGGTGACGAGGAAAGCGCACAGAAATCACAGTTCTAATCTAAACATTTCCGTGATCATTAAAAAAATCCAAATAAAATCGTTTAAAAAAGAAACAAAATCTACATTACCTGGAAATCGTCTCTTCGTTCTTTTTTCTCCCGTCCTTATGTGCTTTTTCTTTGATCAGTTGCAGCGCAGACATGATCCCTTTTAGTTCACTGAAAATTTCACCAAAATTTTCATAAAAAAATATTTATCAAAAGAAAGAAAAAACGCAAAGAAAACACAGCAGCACGGTTTTCGTAAAGGATGACCTGGAAAGATCAGGATCGAAGTCATCAACAAATCCGGTTTTCTGATCTGATTTGCCGAGCAATGACTCCGATCCTCGCTTTTTGGTTCTTGTTTTGCTAGTTGACATTAATATTTGATTTCTCTTTCCTTTTTGAGGAAATTTGGAGTTGGAAACGGATAATAGGATGGCCGGTGACGTTTATTCTCTCCCTCCCTCCCTCTCTCTCTCTGTCTCTGTCTCTGTCTCTCTCTCTGTGTTAGATAGTGTATATTTAAAATAAAGAAATAGGGGGGGAAATTGGTGGAAGAGACTTGGCCGTTTGGACGGAACTTCCGTTTCTGTTTCGCGCTCAATTGGCGCTCTTTTTCTCTCAATTTAAATATTCAAACATTTGAAGAAAAAAAAATTAATACGGTTAATATTCAAAGGGGGAATGTTCAATTTATTAATTTGGTTGATAGACAAATCAAATTGATTAAAATTGAATCAAAATAATTTTTTATTTTTAATTAAAATGAACAGAATTTTACTATTTTGGCTGATTTTTAAATTAACTGAAATTCGTAAAAAGTTTTTTAGGTAGAATAATTCAAGTTTAATTTATGTATTTTTTTCATTTTGGTTTGACCTTAAATTTTAATAAATGGTTGTCTTGATTTTAATAGGTCGAAATATATGTGTAATAATACAATAATATTTAATTTTTTAATTCTATTAATTAATTAATTTTAAATTAAATTAATTGATAATCAAATTTTGAAAACTTCTTAATGATGAATTAATTTAATATCTAATTATCTGATTTACTAATCAAATTAAATAGAATTAGAACAATAAAATCCCCAACTAATGGACATATTTTATAGTGTTGATAAATATTGGTTTAAATGTATTTCGGGGTATTGAACTATTGATTCAAAATTCTATGGATTTTTTTTTTTTGAAAATGAGCGTTTTGTATATATTATTAAAACAAATCATATACAAATCAAACAATGACAAACCCTAATCCTAAATGAAGGGAAAAAGAGTACGATTTATCCTTATCACAATGGCAAAACCAATTCCAACCATAGAAATCAACACCATCAACGTCCCCCTGCACTCGAAACAAAGTGGAACACAAAGCAAAACACCAATGCAGCAGACAGATTAACGCCACCTGCTCTGGGGCACAACAAAAACAAAGAAGATAAAGGCCAGAACAGCAGCAATACATCATTCTAATAGACCCACTAGCCACTAACTCAGCACACAACCAAATAGAAAGAAAACAACCAGGATCAGACAGCCATGCCAAACAAAAACACAGAAAAATTGGTGAACGACCTTACGCCACAGCTCCACCACTGCAAGGAAAGGGGACCAAAGGGCAGACAACACCCAACCCACTAAAAACCCCAAAGACATGAACGAGCACAACGAAACCAACGGAACCAAAATCAATAGACCACAGCACCACCCAGATATCATCAGTAAAGTGCTGCTACCACCAGAGATCACTTCAGCAGCCCACGTGAAACAGACTGCTCCCAGAGAGTAGCAGACAACTCGCATCTTACCTCTGAAGAACGGGAAATGCTACGGCATTTGGGCATCTAAAAAAGTCAACAGAGGCAACGGCAAACGGCCATTTGCTTTTACACCAAAATCCAATTCTGAGAACCGCCAAATCAAACGAACGCTTCTCATTGACACTACTGTTTTTAAACACTATATCATTTCTGCATAACCATATCGTCCATATAATCCCGAAGAAAGCTAAATTCCATAGAGGTTTGTAAGGCTTATGAAACATAAACCCATCCCAAGCAACTAGTAAATCTTTCACCTCACCAAGAATCACCATATTTATTTTCCCAAAGAGCCCCATCTTTGCCAAATTCTCCAGACGACCTCGCATTGGCAAAATAAGTGGTTTGTTGATTCTTGATCTTTTTTTGCAAAAAACACACACACAAGAATCCGCCCTCGAAACTCCCCTCTTAGATAATTCCAAGAAAATAGGAACTCTACACTGCACGGCCTTCCACACAAACGCTTCGACCTTGGGAGGAGCAAGGTTAGCCCACACTAACCTAATTTATCAACTCCAACTCCAACCCTAACCGCAAACTCACAGTAACTTTTGGGGGAATACAGCCCATTCGACGTGCAAGACCACTTCAAGCAGTCCATCTCGAGACAATTCTGCACTGCCCTGTTGATTGTTACCAGAAACTCTTCCCATATGCAGACTACCCAATCAAACAACACCCTTCGTAACTCAATATTCCAAACCCAAACACCGTTGATCTTTGAGCCAAAGTCGTCTTCCCAGACTTTTAACGGCAACACCGAAAATCAGTGGAAACGCCAATTTCAGAGATTGAACGTCCGTCCACTTAACGTCCTAGAAGTCAATATATCTTCCGTCACCCACTACACAACGGATGTTATTCACAAATGGGTCATCTTCCTTTGCTAAAGGACTCGTGATGTTTCTCCATACCCATGACGTTTTCCTCCTTTGAGCTGAACTCGGAATAAGAGAAAATTGATTATACCCATATTTAGCAAGCACCAATCTTTTCCAAATACACCCGAAATCGGACCCAAACCTCCATAACCACTTATTAAGTAACGATCGATTCCTGACACTAACATCAAAGAAACCCAAACCACCTTACGATCTTGGTTTACAAACCTTCTCCCACTTGACCCAATGGATTGTCCTACCAGTCTTAGCACCCCAAAGGAAAAAAACAACTATTTTGTTCAGCCTCGAAGCCACACCTTCAGGCAACTGAAACAATGATAAGTAAAACTCCGGAAGATTCATCAAAACTGATTTTACCAAGGTAATTCGACCTCCGAATGAGAGAAGTTTTCCTTTCCACCCATCAAGTCTTGAGAGGAATTTGTCCACGATCGGCTTCCACAAATCAGGAGAATTCCTTGGATACCCTAGAGGCAAGCCTGGATACTGGGTTGGAAATTTGTCCCAACAACAATTGATTGCAGCAGCCCACTCTTTAGAGATGTGCTCCTCAATATTCATCCCATACGGCTTCGCATTTTTCAAATTGAGACTTAACCCGGAAGCCACTTCAAACAATCTGAGCAATCTATTAATATTTTTCACCATTCCGAGATTGACCTCAGTAAACACAATTAAATCGTCTGCGAATTGGTGATGCGAGATATGCAGACTATTGTTACCTACCACCACACCATTAATCAGCCTCACTTCCTCCGTTTTACATAGCAGACCACTCAACGCTTCGCCTACTAAATTAAACAACAATGGTGACAACGGACAGTCTTAACGGACCCTCGTTTTAGGTTGAATTTCTTCGTAGAGGTGCCGTTAACCAACACAGAGATAGACGAATTCGAGACAAAAAGTTAATCCAACTCCTCCATTTCTTGCCGAACCCCATCTTCTTCAATATGAGCTCCAAAGGCCCAATCTATCGTATCATATGCCTTTCTAAAGTCTGCTTTGAGGACAATAGCCTCTTTCTTGTTCCGCGACAAATCATCGATGAATTCGTTTGCGATAAGGGAACAATCTGCGATTTGTTTTCCGGCAATAAAAGCAAACTGATTATCCCCCACCACTTCAATAATGCAGCCAGCCAGTCTTCGAGATAGCATCCACGCATAGCTGCCGATAGATGGAAGAACTGTTTTTATCACCAGCCTTGAACCACTTCAATCTGGACTTTTGTAACCAGTCTCGCTCCTCCCTCCTATATTTCTCCCATATTTTAGCCCTAAGAGAACGAATCTCAGCCATAACTACACCATTGTCAGGGGAAGCCACCAAAGATCGTTGGAGAGCCTCGATTTTTCCTTCAATTTCCACAATGGATTCGAGATCCTTTCGACTGGAATCATTTACCCACACTTTCGAAGCACATTTTTTCAACAAGCTGCTAATTCCACCCCTTTGGTGCCTACCGCAAACTTCTTTTATCTGATCATTGTACCCTTGAACATCCGCCCAATGTGTAAACCATTTGAAAGGTCGCTGCCCACAGCCCACCGCCCACCTTTTCTTCCTTTAGCAGCACAGGGTTGTGATCCGACAGACTTCTCAGCAATGTGGACTGGGCTAAATGAGGAAAGCACAGCAGCACCTCCGACGAAATTAGGAATCTATCGAGGCGGACCGAAGAACCCCCTCTGAACCATGTGAACTGGCACCCTGACAAAGGTAGATCGATAAGGTTCCTATTCTGAATGAACTCTGAGAAATCTTTCACTGATCTCACGTTAGCATCGGCACCAACTTTTTCCTCATCTGTTTTAACAGTGTTGAAGTCTCCCCCAACAATTACTGGCAACCCCAATCCAGCGATATACCCCTCAAGATGATCAAAGAACTCCTTCCTCTCACTTTGCCCGTTTGGTGCGTAAAAGTTTATTACCCCGATCTTCAAAGAGCATTGCGCCAACGGCCCTTCCGAAGCCACATATCTAGGCTGGAGAAATTTCCTTTCAACCTTAAAAATTCTGACGGAACAGTAACAGAATAGATACTTTTTAAAATATTTTACTAATTAAAAAACATTTTACTAATTATTATATACAATACAGAGATACTTCAATTGCATGTATATATATAATTATATGGACAAATAAATATATTTTTGGAACTTAAAATTGGTTTGAATGTGTAATTTTGATCTTTTTTTTATTAGGTATTTTAACTTAATATTGAGTTTTAATTTGACAATAGTTTTTATTTAATTATGTATCTAAAATCGATTTATTGATTTAAATCGTAGCTTATTAGTAAAAAAAATTCACATTAGGTATGAACCGTTTGGCGTGTCCAATTCGGTTCGTATGTATTTTTTTATACAAGATTCTTTTGGTAAAATATTTATCAGGATTTATATTTTACCATTTATAGTTGTTATTATTTAATATAATTTATGATCATTAGAATAATGTTTATGACAATTAATTATTTTGTAATTGCTATGGGATCTTTTACCATTTTACCTTATATTGAACCTATAAATGGATGTTTATTTTTTTTCATTTCATATGGCACACTAAAAGAGAAATTACTCTAATCCTATAAGTAAAATAAATGAAATTTGTTTTGAGATACTTTTTGAAACTTTTTCTTGAGTGTTGCTTTGAGTTGAGAGAAAGGCAATATTATTAAAGTTCAATCCATTTTTCGGGTGTATGAAATTTTGAGAGTCGTCCTAATCTCAGGGGGTCATTCGTCCATTGTAACGATTACACACATCGAGACAAATTCACTTCAAAGGCAATGGTTAATACCACGACACAATTAGTCAATTCTTTGCTTATATATTTTTCCAATCAAAACTAACGTTTTGTTTTGCAACGGTATATTTTCCAACACATGTATGGGTCATGTATACAATTACTCAATAAATCTATGTTTAAAATATTATATTGTTAAGTTACGTATATGATAATATGATCTAATACAATAGTTTTAGTTTTAAAAATTTATATATTATATCAATTTAATCTTAATTTAAAATAATTTAATAAATTTAACTATCAATATTTAAAATTTTTATCAATTAAATTATTACAAATTATCATACTAATATCATAAAAATAATTTTAAATAGCATTCATCCTGAAAAATAATTTAACTTTCTAAAAAATAAATTAATTTAAAATAAAATATATAAATAAAAAAATTAATATTATACTTTAATTTTAAAAGCAGCATGTGCAGATAATTGGGGGAACAAAATAATGCAATGTTTTAGATTTATAAGAAGCATCCGACTGCTACTACATGATTATATTCCCAAAAGTGATGGACGCTTATCATAAGGATAAAATTATAAAGTAGGCTAAATTTATTGTAAATTGTATTTTTCTTGTAGTTTATTCTAAAATGGTTTTGGCTGTTGAAAGTAGTTAGTTTTTTTTTTCGTCAAAAAGTATGTGAGACCCTCATACTTTTAAAAAAAATAATGTGGTCCTCATCCTTTTTTATGCTGGCCGTTAAATTTAAAAAAAAACTTAATTTGACCATTTGACTAATGTTTATGTCATTGACCTGGTGGTCCATTATGGTTGGTGACATGACATATGAGCTAAATTAATTTTTTTGGTCGAGTTTAAGAGTCAAATTAAGTTTTTTTTAAATTCGTAGAATTATTTAAATTTTAAATTTAAACTATACAAATATAAAAAAATATAAAAATACTAAAAATAAAAATTAAATTACTAAAAATTAAATATATGTATATATATTTAAAAAATTTAAAAAATAAATTATTAAGAAAATATGAAGAAAAAATGAGCAACTTGAAAACCTGATTAAATATACTTGCTCTATTTTTTTAAAAATTATGATACTTATATTATTTTAAAATCTCAACCTTTAAGTTAAAAATAATAATTTTAAATACATATAATAATTATTTTTTTATTATAATAATAATGTCAAGTAAATTAATATTCAATAGATAATTAAATAAAATGACTCGAAGAAATAAATTGATATTAACCTTATGTTTTCAATTGTTTCCAGCCGATTTATACAAATTCTTTTATTTCTTTCGTCACAATCATTAAACATTTTATATCATTTGTACCTTCATTTTAACAAATCATCCATAATCCAAATTATCCAACTTTTCAAAAGAATCAAATTTCTATATTTGTATAGTTAAAATTTAAAATATAAAATATTTTGTTCTGAAAAAATCAAATAAGCCCTTGAACTTTTAATAAAACTTAAATTGACCATTGAACTTGACAAAAAAATAATTTAGCTCATCTACCACATCACCAATCATTATGGACTGTCACGTCAGTACTGTAATGGTCAACGACAAAAATCATTAATTAAAGGGTCACATTGATTTTGTTTTCTAAGTTTGAGCGTTACATTAGGTGCAAAAAAAATGACAAGAATTACATTGATTTTTTTTAAAAAAAATACAAGGACCTCACGTACCTTTTTATCTTTTTTTATTAATCTAGAATAAGTATAAAGTAATATTTATAAAAATATAATTCTTAATAATTTGATATTGAACGCTTATATTATTGATATTTATAATATTCAAATTTAAAACATCGTAAAATAACAACGATTTCTTAACTACTAAAATGACATGTTTTCGCTAAAATAATTAGTTTTTAATGTTTCTTTATGTCACCCAAAAAGAAAATATTTAGTGGCACCCATGTGATAGTATTTATCTCAAAATTGATGCAAACATGTTAAGAGTTGAGTTTTTTTATTTTATTATATTAAATAAATAATTTTTATTTTAAAATTTGAATCTACACGATACTATAATAATAAAATTAGACTTAATCAATTCAGGTTTAATTTTTTCTCTATTTTAAATCTAACTCAAAAAATTAATTAAAAATTTAATTCTTAATCCGATCAGATTTAATATAATTCTCAATTTTCACACTTTTTCTTCAAAATAATTAAATAAAATAGTAATTCCTTAAATTTAATAACGTAAAATTAAAATCATAAATTTAATACTTATATACATGAAAAATGAAAATTTCATAATTATTCTAAGTTATTTTTTATATTCAAACTCAATCTAATAAAATTAAAAAAAATATATTCTAAAATTCAAATTTTATATATTAAAAAATTAATCCTATCACACCGAATTAAAATTCATCAAATATCTTTTTTCTTCCTTAATATCGAGTGTCGTTTTTATAATATTTAAAAAATAAAAAATAAAATATTTAATATCATATAGATATTAAATTTATATCAAATAATAAATCATAAAAATCATTTAAACAGATATGCATAGTTGCATATGCTGCACTGTTTATCAATAATGAACGGTATTCTGCTATTAAATGGGCCTCTTCGATAAGACATTAAGACGCGCGCTCTAATTCCATTGCCAGATATCTTTCTCCTTTTACCCCTTTTTTTCCATATGAAAACAGCCATTGAATTGAGGGCTTAGTGGATTCTTTCCTCTATAATTCGCCCTCTTTTTATATTTTTTGTTTCTCTTTCTAAACGACATAAACACAAACTCAAGGGTTTGTCGAATTTCCAGCTCTTTGATTAGGTAAGGTTTCGGTTATTGATTCTATTTTGTTCATTAATTTTCATTTCGATTGATATCTATATCGCTCTCTTTTGATCGAATAAGCTTTGGGTTTTTTCTTTCTTTTTTCTTTTTGGAATTGAAATTGCCTCTTTTATTTTGATCGGGAAAGTTTTTCTTCCGATTTCCATGGATTTCTTTGACAAACAAGGTAGAACTTTACCCTTTGGTCTGTATTCGAGAATTTGAAGAAATTAAAGAAACCCAATTCTGCAGAAATAAGAATCAATGGATAAATTGCTCCCGGATGCTCGTTTATGATTGTGCAACTTTGATTAAAAATAATCATGTTCCGATAGGGAAATTAAAAACTCGGTGTTATAGTTTCCGAATTTGTTCTTAGAACTCAATCAATTGATTTCTTTTTAGAATAAAAAAAAGGATAGAGTTTGTGTCGGCCATGTACCATTCATAACGAAGGGGACTGTGTCGGTGGTGGATTCGTGGAACATTCGTGAATTAATAATTTTATGGGTTTCAAGGTTTCATGTTTCACCCAATTTTAACCTAAAGAAGTAGAACATAATAAGGTGCAGTCTGCTGTTTTGTGCTTCATATGAACCATTGTGTCTTCTCAAATGGTTCGAGTTTTTTTTATCCCAGCTCCCAGGTGGACGTTTGGGCCAAAATGGTCATTGAATTTGCAGCTAGTAGGCAACTTGCAACCAAGGTTACAGGGAAACCCTGAATCAGAAAACTAGGTGTCTAAATCGATCAGTTTATGAACACCAGAGCCCCGAAGTTACTGTAGGAGCTATCGGGAGGGTGAGTAATGGGTATATGTATATATCTATACTCATATTTTAATACGCATTGTCTAAGGTTCTTTTTACCCTGGGAAATGATTGGATTTTTGTCGAACACTAGTATTTTTTCATAAACCAGTCTCTCAAGCTAGTTACTACGTCCTATAGGTGTTTTGAAATGCATGAATGTAATTTGTGGTCCCTTAAATTTGCTGTGCCTTTTCTTCTTATCCATTTGGTAGAAAATGTGAATCAAGCTATATGCGCTGGTACCTTATCTGTTTGGTGCTTATCATGACTTTGGCCCCTCACATGTTTCCTGCATATATTGCTACCTGATTGCAGGTCTTTTGTGCTATTACATCATAGTTATTGTCTTTTTTTTCTTTCTGTTTTCTAGCCAGCTTTGCTCTGTGTCTAGTTGCTTGATTGTTGATCCTGAGTGTCCTAGTTGTTAAATATGAGTTTCTTTTTTGAACAGTTCCATGGATTTTGAGCAATATTATACTCAGGAATGGAGGGCCATCCCCGGTGCTTCAAGAATCGAGAATTTGAGTGGTAACTTTGACTGCAATATCTGCTTAGACTTCGCACACGAACCGATTGTTACACTCTGTGGCCACCTCTACTGCTGGCCTTGCATCTATAAGTGGCTTCATGTCCAGAGTGCCTCCCTTGATCAAGATGAGCATCCACAGTGTCCAGTTTGCAAAGCTGATATATCCCACACCACCATGGTTCCCCTTTACGGTCGTGGCCAATCTGAATCCGAGTTTCGAGGCAAATCACTTTATGGGGGTATGGTGATACCCCCTAGACCACCTGCTTGCGGTACACAGCCTTTTTTATCACCTACATCCCCAAACAGTCGGCAGCTTCCTTATCGCAACCCTTATCAAAATCAAAACTACAACCCCCATGCTTACAATGAAGATGATCCATCTTCACCGTTGCTTAACGTTGGGGGCAGATTCCATCACCCCCTTGTTGGGTTGTTTGGAGACATGGTATATGCAAGGGTGTTTGGAAACTCGGAAAGCATATACGCATATCCGAACTCACATCTGGTAACAGGAAGTAGTAGCAGCCCCAGGTTGAGAAGACATGAGATGCAGGCTGACAGGTCACTAAACAGAATTTCAATCTTCCTCTTCTGTTGTTTCCTTTTGTGCCTGATTGTATTTTGAGCTTCTTATATTTGCCAGTCCTTTTCTGTATAAATTGTAAAGAATCAAGATGTAAGCTTGTGGTATAGCCGCTTAGGCAAATGAGATCATACTGTATGATATGCTATAATATAATATCAGAGTTTATCTGAAAATTGTCATTTTTTTACAACTGCCTCTACCAATTCGATTAGGGAGCAAAGGGTGTTTAGTTGACTTGAACCAACGCCAATTGCATCATTCGGTCCTTCAATTTTCACCAACTCTACAATTTAATCCCCACTACCGCATTGCTCCTAATTGAGTCATCGTGTGGTGCCTTGACGTTGGAAGGTAAATAATAGTAAGTGTTGTACACCCTACACAATCTTCAAACTATAGCCTCGAGAACTGTAATAGGATATGAAGATAAAATCTCAATCATTCCAGGAGGAGTTAAGTCACAATAAGCGTTTGATGTCCTACATAATCTTCGGATCGTGTCTTCCTCTTTCGTGATGCTCCTTGAGATTCGTTGTAAGGTAAAGAAACAAAATCATATGTATTTTATGTCAACGAGTGAAACTTGTGATTAATTCATGAAAAGGGGATATATCTTTTTGATAAAATGTGGTAATGAGGGGAATATGAAGTCACAGTCACAGCCTTAATTACCCCAAAAACAGGTGTGGTCACAAGTTTTGTCGGCAAGGATCAGTGAGGACGCATGTGTAGAGCCAGATGCTCCCCTCTCAACTTCATTTATCACATCAATGACTTGCTTAAACAATAAACCAAGGCTCAATATGTAAGGACCACCTTTTAAAATCAGGATCGGTTAACATATCATAATTGCAGCAACATTGCGTTATGATCTAGGAGAGACTTGGATAAGAGAACTTGCTTCAAATTAGGAAAATCCGAAATAAATTGAGAATCCCAAAAAAATCTATCCAGCCTAGCTAAAGTTGGGGGGTCTCTATTGTTGCTCCAAGTGAAGGCACCCCATTTAACGGTAGATCTACAAGAGCTGCATCCAACTTCTGAACATATTAATAATAGAAAATTTCAAATTGCCTCCACTTTTCTCTTCAGCGTGAAGAATAGAATTGAAGTCTCCCCCTAAACACCAAGGTGAACATTGAGAACTCAAAAATGACAGTAAGTCCTCAAAGAATTCCCTCTTTTCTGAATCAATCGAGGGACCGTAGACATTCAGGCACCCGCACTTCCAATTATTAGATCTCAAAGTCCCCACAATCGCAACAAAACTCCTGAACACATACTGAGATTCCGCTTGGAAAAAATCCTCCTCCCACATACTTATAATACCCCTGCCGAACCAACAGATGGAGAAAAACAATGGCCAATATTTACATCATTCCAAATGCGCCTTAAAATAAATGGATTGAAATCAGAAAGTTTGGTTTCCTGCAGGAAAATGGTCATACGGTTTTTGACAGGAAATAATTCTCCTCGCCACTCTTAATTTCTCCTTTCTTCCTAAACCTCTGATATTCCAAGAAATACAAGCAAAATTCATCATAATAACCCAGCAAAACCCTGCTTAATTACCCACTCTAAATTCCTCCTCAATTTCGCAAACTCTCTTCATCGCCACATTTTTCCCACCTTTGAACAAAATTTGTAGAATTTTACTCACCTCCCAAACTGCTCTCGCCTCCTCCACACTTCTTAGTTCTTCCAGCAAAGGAGACAAAGAAGGAAAGTTCATTTCCGACCCAAGCTCATCAATGGCTTCCCGAATTTAACGCCGAATGGACCTTCAATACGCCGCATCAAAAAATCCCACACCAGGACGAAAATTAGAAGCATGAATCGAGCCAGAAGAACCAAAAAATCATTCTTTTACTATCTTTAATCTTTTCAGTCTTCATCCAAAATGTGTTTATCATAACATCAAATTTGATCTATACCTTTTTATTTTCATTATTATTCACAAAACTTATTTTTTTAATAAAAAATATTTTAAGTTTCAAATACTTCAATTTCGAAAATTCACCTATTCAAAACTATAATATGAACTCAAACTCTCAAAAATTGATTTTAATTTTATTTATTTTGATATAAAAAAACACCTTTAACATCCCAAAAATAAAACAAATTACATGAATTGAACAACTCATCAATGACCGATAAATTTTCTTACAAATATAATAACAAAATCTTAAAATAATCACGAAACGTTAAATATTATTTTGATAAAAAATTAGTAATTAAATTATAAAAAACAATTTCAATTACTTATTTATCAATTAAACCATATAGTTTATTGTCTAAATTAATATAATTGAGTTTCAACAAATCCCTGAATGCACTTCACTTGGACATCCACTTAACCAGAAACAATGATTATTGATTAAGCAGCATGCAAAGCATGTGCTTAGTGAATGATTATTAGCCTTATCCTTCTTTTTCTTACGGGAAAAGTGTCCACATAACGTTACATAGAGTGTTTAATTCTCAAATTAATCATCCGATTAATTCCTTAAATTGAGTATTTTCTACAGTAAATTTGGGATCTTTCGACGTCTTAAGGGTTGAATCAGATTTTTTTGGCGTCTTGCTTTGGATCTCCTGGCGTCTTCAGGCATCTTATTTGGGATCTCACGACGTCTTGAGGGTGTTGTATTGTTTATGGAGATCTCTAGCGTGTATCAAGAAAAAAATTTGGCCTTTTTACACAAATATCACCTTAACATAAATTAATTACTTGTTAGGCACTGTTTAAGAATATTTTACAGATCTAATAAAATTTTAAGAATATCATTTTAAATAATATGAAAAGTTTTGATATTTTATAAATTTATTTAATTATAAAATATTTTAAAAAATATTATTTTAAAATATAACACAAATACACATCTTTTAAGATGAACTTATAAACTTCGATCTTACAATGTACCAGATTTATGATAAAAGACACTTTCCTTTTCATTAAATTTGCGTAAAATACATTTCTCGATATATTATATATAAATATATGTTAACTATTTTTTATTTAATTTTAATTTAAGTTGTATATAATTTTAAGATATTTTTTTCTTTTTTCCTGGACACCCATAAAATAATAGCACGGTAATAACGATTTAATGATTTATAAATATTAAATTAAATTGAAATTTAATATTAAGTTGTACAAAACTAAAAACTTATATATTTTATCATACATTATACTAAAGTTCGATATATTTTTGACCGATACTTTTTGGTGTTAAAATATTATTGTAAAAAGAAGAGAGAATAGGCTACAATAGAAACATTATTAAGTGGTGTGTCACTGATATTTTAGGTGAATTATATACTTAGTAAACTTATATAAAATTTATAAAAATTTTATAGAAAGTATTTAAAAATTTGTTAGATCCGTAAAATATTCTTAAATAGTGTCTAACAAGTAATTAATTTATGTTAAGGTGATATTTGTGTAAAAAGGCCAAATTTTGGAGATCCATGCCGGGAGGTCCCAAGCAAATCGCCAAAAAAATATAATTCAACCCTGAAGACGTCGAGAGATCCCAAATCTATTGTAGAAAATATCTCATTTAAAAAATTAATCGGATGAACACAATAATTTGAGAATTAAAATAATCCTCTAGCGTTACCTGAGCACTTTTGCGGTAAGTTTACACATAACTACCGAAACTTGTAACTACTCACATACGAAAATGTACAGCCTGTCGTATTGTAATACTGTAGCTATTTACTTTTATTGGATAAATGAAATTCAAAATTTATCCGATAAATAAATAAATAAAATAACAACATATAACAAGAAATTCAGCCGTAATATATATAAAGCAAAAAGTGTAAAGAAAAGGAAAGGCGAAATTATTGGAAAGACGGAGTGGGTTGGGTTGATTCACGACCATATAATCTTGTTTGAACGCTAGTTTAACAGTCAAATCAAGTGTGCCACCTACTCTAATCCTATCAATTTTTTTATATCTTAATTGTCTAGACATGGGTATATGTCGGGTGATATTGAGTTTTTAATCTATTCAAATTTTGTTGGGATATTATATTTCTTCGTCTGTCTTTCAAATCGACTAAGATTTAAGAAATTTTTTGAAACTCGAAGTTTTAGCATAATTTTTCGAGTAAAGATATAAATAAATAGAGTTATAAGAGATAATAAGACGAGTTCATTGATTCAGTAAGTTTTTGAATAAAACAATTGAGAATAATAATTATAACGCTAGTGTGACATAAAGATAAAGTTGTAAAAAATATTATTTGGAGGAAGAAGATAAAATAAAAAATTATATAAATGACACATAAATTTCATATTAATAAAACGTAATCTAAATCAATACACGTGATTATCATATCATACTTTCACTTATGAATTAATTATCAAATGACTAAAATAGAAGTAAATGAAAAAATTGGTGAAATATTTTAAAAAATTTAAACTTTAGTAAAAATTGAAAAAGAAATTTAAGTGATAAAGTCATACATTTCCTGTCCCTACCCAAAAAGTGCACTAATCACACTGCTATTTAATTGACAACTGTGATTTTTCCATAAGCATTTAATGATGACATTTAATCGGTAGTCTTATAGGAATACTACTTATTTTAAATTTATTTATATAAATTAATATACAAATTTTATTTAGGAAAGTAGCATTCTTCTGATAAAATAATTGTGTAAGTACAAGCCGGGTAGCCAATGAGAGCACTTACATGTAGTACTTATCACTAATTACTCCTAAGAGAGTATGTTCAAAATATTATATTTAAATACTTAAAAAATATCATATCTAAACAATACGAAATATGAGAATCTTGAATCTTATGATTAAAATTTATTGATTTTAAACTGTTAAAGTTATGTCTTTTATGATTAAAATTAATATGAATATTCGAACTCCTAATAATCAAAATATTATAAAATAATAATATAAATAATTAAAATATTATTTTTTAAAATTCAATGACCAAAAATAAGTTATGAAACACACGTCATCATTTTACCTAATTATTTTTAATAAAAATCAAAGAAATCAATCAATGACGGCACATCAAATCGTATGGGACAAAATTACAAAGAAAGTTAGGGCAAATCCTTGCATGTGGTCAAACTTTCACGGCAATTAATTCTTCTATTAATTTTAAAATTGTCGGGATGAATGATTTGAAAGCTTCGTATATTTATTCATATTTA